TGTTGGAAGAACACAAGCATGAGCTGGATCGTATGGCCAAAGCAGACCGCTTCCTGTATGACATGAGCAGGTAAAACACACACACACACACACACACACACACACACACACACACACACACACACACACACACACACACACACACACACACAAGCCTGTATTTGTCAGTTAACTAAAGCATGACGGTGACAGACAGACTGTACACTTTGAGGATCCTGTCTGGAGGAAAAGCTGCAGAGCAGGTTGAAAGAGAGAGTAGTTACCTCAAGTAACAGTGTTATTAAGCTGCCAGTGTACCAAGTAAAATAAAACTGTCTCGAGTTGGTAAAAATTGTTAAGCACTATCTAAAATGCTTCACTTGTTCAAATAACTGAAGAAAAGCCACAGGAGCACCCTGTTCTGCTGCTTCCCCTCTGATGCTTACCAGGAAGTCTGCTGTTAAAAGTCATCACAAATGACTGTCACTTGGTTATGATTATCACAACCTGCAGTCGGTCGTCAGCTTTATGGAGCCAGGCAGAACAACTAAAGGCCAAAGATAGGCTCGCATCCTGTGTCACATGAGAGATTTTCTGGCTTTTCACATTGAACATTTTAACGGAAAACGACATCTTTATTCACAGAAGCAGGGTTAAGGCCGCTGATATGTGGTTCCCTTCTCAGTCCTAACTTATCTTGGTCTCTTACCCTTAGTCCCAACCAAAGCTTTTGTCATCGGCCTCGCTTTAAAAATAGCACAAAACGATATCCTCATCATCAGTACCCTCGGCAAGAAAGTGCTTCTTGCTTTAACCTATGTTCTTATAATCACACTTTTCTATGTGTCTGTATTAAAAAGAAAAGAGCGACATCATGTGGCCAAACAGCAAAACAACATAACCAGCTATTCCAGGCAGTGAATACAAATGTATACACACCTCGTAGGCTCGAGCAGCCAAAATAAAACATTTAGAGAAAAACAATAGAGGGCATTGTGTGACTATCTGTTGACAATTTGACATGTTCACACACAAACAACAAAATAGTTGTAGTTGGGTGGCTGTTGGGTCATCGGAGTCCACTCACAGTTTGGCTGTTTGATTCTGTCCTCTCCTAGCATCAACCACTATCAACAGAGACTGCAGTCCCTCTACTTCAAGAAGAAGTTTGCTGAAAGAGTGGCTGAGATCAAACCTAAAATCAAAGGTATTCCTTTCTGTCCAAAACTCAGTGAATTCATGGGTGCTGTTCTGTTCAGTTTGTTGTGTCCTGCTGAAGATATTATAAGATGTTAAAATACATGTTGACATTGTGTTCCAGCTCTGAGCATTGCGTCCCAGGAGGTGGTGAAGAGCGGGGCGCTGCTTCAGCTCCTGGAGGTGGTGCTGGCCTTTGGAAACTACATGAACAAAGGACAACGAGGAAACGCCTGGGGATTCAAAGTGTCCAGTCTCAACAAGATAGCCGACACCAAGTCCAGCATTGACAAGTACGGCTCATTTTCTGTTGACTTAATCCTTTTTCTGAGAAGAAATGTAGATGTTTGTTCGATTCGCTTTTCTTCTAGAAGTCAATGAGAAGTGATAAATGTTTGACTGTTAAATGTACGGTGTGTGTTGTGTGTTTGCAGAAACGTCACTCTTCTTCACTACATGGTCACTGTGCTGGAGAGGAAATACCCGAAGTTGGCAGCTTTCAGTGAAGAGCTTCAGACTGTGCCAGAAGCTGCGAAGGTCAAGTAAGAACAAACACAAACACAAAGACACTGTAGAAGTGATTGTCCTGAACCTCACTGCTAAAACAAGACTTTGTGGAGACTGTTGTTCCCCAATAAATAGGTCCTGAAATCCACCTAAAACCACAAATGGGAAGAAAAAATTAAGGAATTGTATTTTGTGTAATGCAGCTAAAATGACTGTCTTGTGTCTCTCTATGACCTGTCTCTCCAGCATGACAGAGTTGGAGAAGGACATTGGCAAGCTGAGATCTGGCCTGAAAAATGTTGAGGCGGTGAGTGAATGATTACGAACCTGATCAGTTATTTTCTTAGTATGTTCAACACCTAACACCCTGTAAATCCATTTGACAAAAAGACTCATGGAGGATACGTGTGGAATATATTGACATATTGAATTCTCTGTGTGTGTGTGTGTGTGTGTGTGTGTGTGTGTGTGTGTGTGTGTGTCCAGGAGCTGCAGTACCAGCAGGGCCGCTCCCCTCAGGGTCCTCAGGACAGGTTTATCCCTATGGTCAGTCAGTTCATCACTGTGGCCTCCTTCGGCTTCTCTGACGTGGAGGACTCACTCAGTGAGGCCAAACAAGTGGTGAGTCAAGGGGGATACTGTCATTCACATGTTTAACCCACAAACATAATCTTAACACAAAGGAGTCTAATGCTGTAGTTAGGGTTAGCAGAAACAGAAAATCTGTATGTGAGTCTGAAGCAATGCTATCCAACAACATTCATAACCCACTGCTGCCAGTCTGTATGCTACGCTAGGCTAACGTTGTCCTGACTCCAGCTCTGTAATTAACACACATACTGTCTCTCGATTCGGATACTTTCCTCAGTACACTTCCATGTCTTAAACTGGGTGGTCTTGTCTTAAATCCAACAAAGGTTTTATGCCCTCACTGGAAGTGACGATCGCTGCTGTTAGCTAGCTAGCTATAGCAATTATGATTCGCAGTACCAAATCCTTTCAGACTGCTCAATTAACACTATACAATTAACAGCAGCTTCTTTTTGACACCAGTTACAGTATAGCAGAACTAAAATATTTAAAAATAAATACACATATCTAACTTTTATTTGCATAGTGCTATGTTCACCAAAGCAACAGCAATAGTGTGTAATTGTAAGTGTCCACGTTCCACTGTGGACCATTGTGAGAGCCCTATCTGGATGCATTTTGACATACTTTGGAAGCAGCAAATGTAAGCGCAGAAGTACATGATTTGAGACACGTTTTTTCTCAAATTGTTGTGCTATTCGATTAAAATGTGTCGATTGTTTGCCTTTTAAGATAAACCTTCATAGTACATAACTATCTGTCCTCAACTGACTGACAGATAAACAATGTTACACTCACACAGTTTCACATTATATTGTGTGTATTATATACACACAAGTTGGACATTAAAAAGGCAAGATATCTGAAAAATCTGCCTGTTGATCAAAAACAGAAGCTAAATGAAACCATAAATACAATTACCAATTACACAACTATTACATTTTCAAATTGGTATTTATTATATAACCTATTTGTACTTACTTAATCATGGTAATGTCCCGTCAACTTATGAACACAGAAACAGAGCATTTCTAAATCATTGAATAATGCAGAATACAAAAAAAGTGAAGCCAACGTTTACAGCAGCTCAATATGTTCGACTCGTCAAAATGTATCATGTATCTTGTTGCAGTTTGGAAAGGCGCTGACACGTTTTGGAGAAGACACGTCCAACATGCAGCCAGATCAGTTCTTTGGGATGTTCAACACTTTCCTCACAGCTTACTCAGAGGCCCAGCAGGAGAACGAGAACATGGCGAGACGCAAGGAGGAGGAGGAGAGACGGGAACTCTTGGAGGCACAGGTTAGAGGACATGATCATACAAGAGAGATGTACTTTATTTTAACAGGATAGCTAATGTATGTTACAACGTGTCAGGTACATAGTAATACATTCATAAGTTTTGTTCCGTGCATTAAACATATAACATACTTGACACTAACTTCTGAGAGATAACATAATAGACGTTGCCTACACACTTTCCCTGTTTCCATACACTGATTCAGACGAGATGGGGAAGTATTATAGTATATAGATCCTGCAAAAAACTTAAATTGCTAAGAACTTGTACTATTATGACACTGTAAAAATACTCTCTGTAAAGTGTCAAAGTCCTGCATTTAAAATGTTTCTTTAGAAAAAGTGAGTAAACATTCGTAGCCAAATGTAGTTAAATTACTTTACTAGTGTTAAAGCAGAGAAATCTAAAATTAAAAATTGTTAAAAATAAATGAAACAATGAGTGACATTTATATAAAGGCCAATTAATGTTCTCCCAATCTTTCAAAAAGCTGTAAAATAAATACAATATAATATATAATAAAAACAAATCCTCATATATGGTCAACTGTTTTTTTATGCAAAACTCTTGATTTGTAAACTAACTAAAGCTGTAAGAGGAATGCAGTAATGTAAAACGTACATTATTTAATTGAATTGGAGTAGTATAAAGAGTCAGTAGTGATACAGTATCATCCTCTCCTGTCTTGATCTGTCTGTTCCTGCAGCTGAAGAAAGACAGGGAGCAGAAGGGCAGGAAGGCCAGAGCCAACGCAGAAGAGGAGAGCGGTGAGTTCGATGACCTGGTGGCCGCTCTGCGCTCTGGAGAAGTGTTCGATCGGGATATGTCCACAATGAACCGCAGGAAGCAGCGGACACAGAAAGTGTTGGAGAGCAGCCGGGAGAGAGTAGTGACAAGACTAAACCAGTGACCAACTTCATCTTTAAAGCTGTCAGGAAGTACACAAACATACTGAAACACTGCTGACTATTGAACATAATCAATGTATGTTAATGTAGGCTTTTTAGAATAGTATTGGGCTACTTTGACCAATTTCCAGAATCAGGTGTCCGGTGCCTTGCTGAAGGGCACCACGGCAGGGCAGGAGGTGAACTGGGACCTCTCCAAGTAGAAGTCCACACTCCATATTTAGGTCTGGTCAGGGACTTGAACCGGTGACCCTTCAGCTCTCAGTCCGAGCCCCTACTGACTGAGCCACTGCCGGAGTTCCATTAGTAATGTACATTAATCTGTTCTTAATATAAGATTTTAAACTATTATCATTTAAGTGTTTTTTGTCAGCTGTTACACACTACTCCATCATTTCTTTTAAACAACGCTTTGTAAAAATGTATACAACTATATCCTGCAATAGCTGCATTTAATAAGTTGATGTTTTGATTTTTATTTACCATCATTTTGTTTTTGGGGTGGTTTGCATTCCCTATAAATAATAATAATGATAATAAATTATATTTTCATAGCGCTTTCTGGGACTCAAAGTCTTTTTTACAATATAAGGGAGGGTGGGGGTTGGGTGGGTACAAACAAATAAGGACAAACAAAGACGATACAATAATTAGAGTTATTCTCGAACCAGGGATCAGTATTATCTGTTGATACGGGTACATGTACAGTACAATAGTAAGTGATATATGGGTGAGATAAAAATGTTAAAGGTGTATTTTTTATAAAATGACAGTCCTTTAACAAGGCTAAAGCTTGTCTATATACAAAACTGGCATTATGTCATGAACAATACCTGCTGATTCAATAAAAACGTGAAGACGGATACAAAATGTGTTGTCGTTGTTGAGTCATTCATCCTGTTAGATAGGAGCAGACTGAAAGGGGGGGGGACCAAACAACCTCATTAATGATTGGAAATGCAAAGATTCAGCCAAGGAAACAAAAAAGTATCAGACATGACTCCAAAACTAGGGTTTGGTTTAAAGATCCCCTATTATACTCTCTTTCAACAATATATTATGGGTCTCAGATAAATACAAAACATATCTCTGAAGTGTTTGGCTCCAAATACCAAACAGATCATTGCAGCATCCCACAATCCCCTCTGTTTCAGCCCTGTTTCAAAAGTGCTGATTCTCTGTCTGTTACTTTAGATGAAAATAAGGAGCCACTCCCCACGCCCCTCTGAGAGATATTTGGTTAAAAAGAACACAATAGGGGGGGGTTTACCTTTGTTGGTTATTGGCTAATGGTTACACAAGCCAAAACATATGACATCACAAAGTGGCGATAATCAGCTCATTTTCAGACAGCTTTTTATATAAATGGATCAGGACAAAAAGTGAGCGAATCTTTTGTCCTGAAACTTTCAGAATCTCTTTACACATGTTTATGTATAAAAGACATGAAAAAGTGGATTTTGCATAAGAGGTGACCTTAAAAAAAATGTATTATCAACATTCTAATCCCAACACATGTTACATTGCATTTCAGAAAGATATCATAATTAAATTGGAATATTGTCAGATGTATGTCATAATATTGTAATAATATCTTCAGAATTGTATACTTAGGTCAAAAATATGTAAATGGACTGTACTTATATAGCGCTTTATCCAGTCTTTAAGACCCCTCAAAGCGCTTTACATACTACATGTCATTCACCCATTCACACCCATTCATACAGAGCAGTGTACCTTACTCTAGGACCTAACATTCACACACTTTCACACACCGTTGGCCATGCCATCGGGAGCAACTCAGGGTTAAGTATCTTGCCCAAGGATACATCGACATGTTGACTGCATGGGCTGGGATCGAACCCACAACCTTCTGGTTGAAAAACGACCACACTCCCTCACAGCCACAGTCGCCCTAAAAAAATATTATAAAAATATGTTCAGACTTATGTCATAATGGTGTAAGACGGTTGTAAGATTTATGTCATAATGATACTTTGGCAGAACAGAACAAAGCATGGAGGTGAAAGCTGATCTCTTTTTATTTAAATGGGAGAGTCCAATACAAATATTCAGTCACTTACACCGATTAATTATTGTGAAGAATCATTTTGATTTAAATATTGATGAATTCATTGTGATTCTACTTGTGTCTTGCAGGATAAGAACACATGTAGTTGCTTTTCAAACATAGCAAAATGGCAAGGAAATGTTCATTTAAATCGACACTTTTAAACATCATGGAAAGGTGTGGATATTTGAGAAGGTGTGTATATTGCAATATTATAAGACCTAAAAACGACAGTTAAATGTTACTTGTAAAGCCCCTCCACCCGCTTACCACGACTTTTCAACACAGACCCCCCCCCCCCCCCCCCCCCCC